GAGGAGGAGGAGGAGAAAAAGAAGAAGAGGAGGGGGAAAGGGAAGGGGAGGGGAAGTGGGAGGAAAAGAAAAATGCTGATTAGATTTACAAGCTGAGGAGTGTGGACCTCCACCCAAAGGTTTCCCCAGTCCTAGAGCTTCAGACCCAGGCTCCTCCCTTCCCATATAGACCAGCAGGTGGCAGCACTAGCAGGGCTATCAAAACCAAAACTAAAGAAACTCAGATTTTTTTTGGTTTGTTTTGTTTATGCAAATATTCGTTCCCTCATTCCTCCGGGAATGGTCCCCTCCACCTCCAGAGTCAGCCCTCCCTCGCCCTGCTCTGCAGGGCTGCTCTCTCCCTCAACTCTCCGTGAATGAACACACCGTCAAGAGAGCTGAGAACCCAAAATCAAGCAGGCCTGGGAAATGTGAGTAAGGCTGGGGAGACCGAGGCAGGAAGAGGGGCCGCGCACAGGAGGCAAGCCTGCCCCAGACTTATGCTGGAGCCGGGGTGTCCTCCCCTCCCCGCGTACCCTGTCTGTGCCAGCACACACAGGCTCGCTCATTCACCAACACACACACCGGGCCTGAAGAGGCACAGCCGAGGCTGCCTTGCCTCTCTTCCTCTGGGCTCATAACAGTGAGGGGAGGGGACCCCCGCCCTGCTCGGCAGGAGGAAGCCCAGTTTCCCAGGCCCCATGGAGGGCTTCTCCCAGAGGGCTCTGCTGCATCTGTGGGACCCCTTTCCAAGACCCATGCCTGGGAGCCCTCGCCTTCCATGAGCTGGTCCCAGGCCCTGGTCCCATGCCAGTCCCATTCCGGGAAGGGGAGGCAATGATGGGGGCTGGGAGGGAGCATGATGGGAGCATTCGACCTCTGGACTGGACACTGCCCGGGAGGCAATGGGGCTGCAGAGGCGCCCCGCCCTCACCGGCCATCTCCAGGGGTGTCGGACAGCCAGAGAGAAGTTTGGGGTGCTCTTCACCAGCCCCGCAGACACCTCTTTCCCTTCCACAGGTGGCTCTTCTCGCTTCTGGTGCCAGCCCTGCTCTGGGGGGTGGAAGGCTCCATCCCCATCCCTCAGAAGCTCTTTGGGGAGGTGACATCCCCTCTGTACCCCAAACCTTACCCCAACAACTATGAGACAACCACTGTCATCACAGTGCCCCCGGGGTACAGGGTGAAGCTCGTCTTCCAGCACTTTGACGTGGAGCCTTCCGAAGGCTGTCTCTATGACTTTGTCAAGGTAGGGGCCAGGTTGGAGGGAAGAGGGCAGACCGTGCTGAGGGCCTGTGCTCCAGCGGCCCTGGCAACAGGTCCACCCCAAAACTGTACCGGCCCGGCCGGAGCTGATGACCAAATAGACTTCTGAGAGCCACTGGATGCCACAGATGGGGTGCCCTCGAGTTTTAGGGTGCTCAGGGAGCACTGTGGGGAGAAACATAGAGAAGGGAAGGCACAGTGGACACACTGCTGATCCTCTGGGGTCTTTGAGAAGCATCTGTATCTCAGTTTCTCTGTTTCCATGGAGAGCATGGCCATGACTGCCCACCTCCACAGGAACACAAGAAAGAGAAACAGTGTGGTAGCCCACGCACAGCCTTCAGCAAGGACAGGGACTCAGTGCCCGCACTCTGCATCCACCAAGGAGACTCCTCCCCCATCCCGCCTTTTACATCCGGTAAAGATAAGACTACAGATTCAAGCAGAGCCTATGCATGTGCATCCCAGGCAACAGCCTGGAGGCTGAGGGAATAACATGGAGACATGAGAGCTTCCTAGCACAGAAGACACAGCATGCACGGAGGAAGCGTATCTGGTGGCCTGGAGGGTGAGGAGTGGAGGAGCCTGTGAGAAGAAGAGACAGGGAAGCAAGGCTGGGGCCCAGTGGGACTCACACGCAGCTGGGCCATCCAGAGGCGTGGCTGGACTGAGAGGTTGAATAAGCATGTGGGGCGCAATAAGACAGAAAATGAAAACTAGTCCAAGCTTGGGAGTTAAGGAACTGCAAAACTGGGCAGAGACCCCCAGGATCCCCGTGGAAGGAGGACCCAGAAGGGTGGGAATGAGAGAGTGCTCAGACCTGTCAGGGGGTCAGGCATAGAACAGAGATGGGGTGACTTCCCAGCCATGGGTCACATGCAGAGTCGGTGAGTGGGAGATGCAGGCGACAGACGGACCTCACAGGGACGTCTGCAGCCCTCGGAGCACAGCAGGCGGTGACCAGTTGGAGCCAGGATTCACTCTGGGATATAGAGATGGACCCAACTCCTCAGCCTGACTTCTTCCCCTACCTCGTCTGTCTTCCACTAGATCTCTGCTGATAAGAAAAACCTTGGGAGGTTCTGTGGGCAGCTGGGGTTCCCCCTGGGCAACCCGCCAGAGAAGAAAGAATTTGTGTCCAAAGGGAACAAGATGCTGCTGACCTTCCACACAGACTTCTCCAATGAGGAGAACGGGACCATCATGTTCTACAAGGGCTTCCGGGCCTACTACCACGCCGTGGGTAAGTAATCCC